ACAAAAATAAATAAAAATCAAATGATATAAATGGTAAATGTACCAGAACTGACAGGTATTCGTTTCAAATTTAAAATATGTAATGTTGTTGTGAATAATACTAAAAATTAGGTTTCAACGCTTGGTAAACTATGACAATTTAATATATTCGGGATGTTCAAGCCTAATCACTGCGAGAGTATAGCATGGCATCATATTCGACGCAAAAATTTGATGAATCAGCTGAGTATCCGCAAAAGACAACAGTGTCGCAATATTTGCTTGATCGAACATCTCCTATTTATTGCTTTTGAATGCTAATTAAGTACGTATTACCTCTCTTAGCGCTACTATAAGTGGCATTTTTGATCCACGGTGAAGATCGAATATCAGTCTTGCTATGAGTTGCGCAACTGTGTCAAAATGTCGTTCTGCATCGGCTTTTCAATCGAATTAATTTTCTTATCAATGCTGTAAGATAGTAGAAAGATTCCCAAGTTTTGGCAATCACTTCTTTGTTGCTTTTGAACCACCCTTTAATTTTATTAATCAAACTACTTTATAAGATTAACACAAACTTCCAGTCTGCACTTTGTAATTGACAAGAGAATGGAAATTGCAAAGTAGAAATTGGTCGCTCAGTACTTTTGACCTCGACAGTGGTGGCAACTCATTAAGAGCATTAATTTGACATTTGGGCAAATTAATGGAATTTGCTCGCAATTGAAACATTGTCAATTAATACCTTCATTTTCATTACGATCTTTTTGTTTTGAAATCATAGCTGTTACAGTTCTGGTACTTAGGATACTTTACTATATGGTTTTGAGGAATTGGTTATGTTATGTTTATGTCGCTTGTTCTTAGTAAAAATTACATAATTGGGTATAGAATTCAACAAATGGTTGTCAACCGCAAAACAAAAATTCAAAAAAAGGTTTAATTCATGGTTTTTTTTATGCAATTGTAACGTAAACACTCCCAAGTCTTTTCAGTTATAAGTGAATATTTATTCACATTTTTATCCTGCATGCGATGTTACTGTTTGTAATGAGTAAAAAAAAAAGAAAACAACATTTAATAAGACAAAAGAACATTCTTCTAAACTAAATGACTTTCAGTTTACTATCAATTCCTATAATTCAAATGATTACAACGTCAATGTCTCTCTGAGTGTGTGCATGTAGGTGTGTTGCTCACACAATACAACTCGAAATTGTGTGTTATTATAAAAGCAAAAGCTCTACGGTTTTACATAAATAAATCAGTTTGCAAATTATTGCCGTAGGAAGTTGTAAATCATTATTCTAAGTTGCACATCTTTTTTTTCGTTTTTGCTTTTATTTCACTTTCGTCTTACATTTTTGRTGTAATTTGCAAACAATTAAGCGCTCTTTTCGGAAGGACTTTTCACTTTTAGGTGGTCCGTTGACTTCTTGTTCAAATATTAGTGAGCATTTATTTGCCTATATTGTCTTTTTTATAAATTTTATTTCATAGAATTTTAGAAATCATATTGCATGGTTTGGTTAACGAGTCAGTGGCTACCGAACTACTCAATTAGTTGGTTTTCACAATTCTGTTATTAATTTTTTTTTTATAATTTTTAATGCTTAACCATAGAACTTTAATCGATTATTGCATTTTCAATTAGCTTTTGTTATTTATTATT